TAAGAAAGCCAACGTCATCTTTACTAATTTGGAAATTTCCACGAGCAATCCGAGTGGAAGAAGGGATTATACTTTGCTTGGCAATGGGGGAGAACTATGTGGGCCCTACTGGCTCTGGATTTTTTTGATAATAATAGACTCATAGGTCGTTGATGGGTTGGGTTGGGTCTGAGTTGGGTGGGTCGGGTAGCTTTCCTCGTAATCCGAAATATTCGTCTCGTAGCCGAATTCTAAGTGCCACGTGTCCGATCGGACAATCTGGTTACAGGTTTAAGGCAAAACCATAAGTTAAGCCCCTGAACTAACCCCAGAATCGCTATTAAGCCCCTAGACTTTAATTGATGCAGTTAAGCCCTTGAACTCTGGGATCAAAGCAATTAAGCCCTTCTTCTTAAGCAATTTATTTTAAAATTTTAAGTCTAGGGACTTAATAGTGTAAGAAGAAGGGCTTAATTGCTTTGATCCCAGAGTTCAAGGGCTTAACTGCATCAATTAAAGTCTAGGGGCTTAATAGCGATTCTGGGATTAGTTCAGGGGCTTAACTTATAGTTTTGCCCAGGTTGAATGGGGCCCACTCTCCACCGACCAATCAGTCTAGTGTGTGGTCTGATGTGTCCCCTTCTCGTTTTTTGCTTTGCCTTTACATTTGCATTTCCCTCTGGAGTCGCGTGGGACCCGCGTAGGTTCTACTACTACTACCATTCTTCTCCCCCACTATCGTTTCCTCGTTTTCTCCCTGTTGAATTAGGACTTCCATTCTCTTCTCCAACCAACATCAGTATCTTCATCACCAACCGGGTTTGAGATTCAATGGTTGGTTCTTAAGTCTTAGGGCTTGAGTGTAGTGGAGGTTAGAGTTTTGAGTTTTGTTATCACCGTGAATTTCATCAACTTGCAACCTAATAGCCGCGCACCTCATACGAGGAGTAGAATATTCACCATTCTGAAAAATCTCAGTTGCTAACAAACTAACTCTACTAACTTATTAACCATTACCCTTATAAAAAAAAAAACATCAGTATCTTCATTCTCTTCCGTTTTGTTTTCTTTCGAAATTTCCTTCTCTTTTGTAGACTTTTAGTTTTGATTGCTTTCACACTTACATACCATAATCTCCGCATTTTTTTATGCAAAAATAAAAAATAAAGGTGAAGACTTTTATTTGCACCTTATATATTTTTTTCTTTTTATGCTCAATACTTTAAATTAATTTTTTTAATTAATATTTTTTATTATTTAAAACTTGTGAAAATTTAAAAATTTACCATCAAACCTTTTGTTTGTTCATTGATTTTGTTGATAATTTAAGGTTTTTTATGAATTTTAAATTATGAAAAATATTAATTGAAATAAAATTAATTTAGAGTATTAACTATAAAAAAAATATATGTATAATACAAATAAGAGATTTGGTCAAAAAGCAAATATCATTAATAATCAAAAGTACTAAGGGTACGGATCTTCACTTATTATTTTGAATGTAAAATAGCATATAAATTGTTAATTTATGAATAAAAAGATTATAAAAACACTATGAATAAAAAATTCAACCTTTAAATTCTCAAATTTATGTTCTCCATTCAAAAAGGGTTTTTTAACAAAAACGTAAAGCACAAGACATAATATAATTTTAATTGATTTTTTTTTTTTTCACTTGAGTAGGAATCCATTTTAACTAAAGACACAAGTTTGTGTTTCTCCATCGCATTTCAATGCAAATGATTTTAATTGACTCAACCACAACACTAGTACGTGACAATTTGTCAACTTCCTATAACTATTAATGTTATAATTTATAAATACAAGTCTAAGTATATAGTAATTTACTGATCACTTTAATAAAAAAAATACTTGAACACTTAAAACTTGAATTTTATTTTTAAGTTTCCTTTCTCCAAAATTCCCTATTATAAAAAAAAAAAAATTACAAACACAAAAATTCATACACTTTGAAACTCAATGCAACCTTATAATTGTAAACTCCTCGAATGTTAAGCCGACCTGGAAAGGTGCCAATGGTTGGACACGAACCAGAAAACAGAACACAACTATAGAAAAGAAAATTTTCTGTTCAAAGCCGAGACATCGAGATTCTTTGGAATGGGAATGTTTGATTCTTTTCTTGACACAGGGAGTTACCAACATATCTCTGGGCACAGTTTTCTATTCTACTTTCACTTTTCTTTTTAATTTTGTCCCAAATTTATTTATCCGTTCAGCATGTTCTTTGACTGGTATGTACATAAATTTGACTAGTCAAATACCTTGATTGATAACCCCAATTGTGTGTCCACACGGCCCCACTTATGGTTCTCCTGTCCCCACCACAATCCCCAAAAGTACTTATGATCATCATCAAATTATTCCAATAGCCAATCAATACGTTAGTCTATTTTAATTTTATAATCTGTAGGGGGATTTATAGCCAGAGAGCCCAAAGAAATGAAGGATCCAAAGGATATCATTGTGGAGAAATCAATCATTGTTCGTTTATGTTGATTTCTTTTTCTTTTTCTTTTATTTTTTCAAACTTATGATATGTGAGATGGTATGAAGGTGAGTGTAGTCACCAATTATTTTTATTAAATTTAATTGATAAAAATAGTTAATGTTTAATAAAAAATTAATATTTATTATTTAATAAATTAAAAATTAATTTATAAATTATTATTTTCTTTTTTTTTTTGAACAACTTGTTAAGAGATAGGCTTCCATAGAGGAGGAAGAATGCACATCAAACTCACAGATTGCCAATTGATCCGAATAGTCAAGTGTAATTACTATTTTCATATATTAATTATAATTATTTATTTAAAAAAAATTACATATATTAATCAAATTAAATATAATTTTGATAAATTTAACAAAATTATTAGTAAACATATCCACACCCTAACAAGATAACAAGAATTTTTAGTTGGCAACAACATTGATTTTCCCGCTGGTCCAAGAATCTTGGTCCATAGATGGTGGTATGCACAAAAAAAATGAAAAGGTAAGGTAGTGTTTAGCCATTTTGATCAAAACTTTGATTGATTGCCTGATCATATCATATATAACAAGTGGACTGCATGTGGGACTTAATCTAAGCTATCGTATTCCTTTCTTCTTTGAGATAACTTATAAAATTGCTAGTGTAATGATTCATTTTTTCTTCCATGTTCAAACCTTAGGCTTTGTTCTCATATAATAATCTCACCTGCTTATGGGGTTTTAGTGACCAAAGCTAAACTAGTGAACACATATATTATACAACCTTAGCAGTTATAGCAGCAAATATGGACCAAATTGCGTGAAATACAAATATATGAAAGCTAAACTAGTGATTTGTAAAAGTTAATTCTTGAATCAATTAACATCGCTCACATTTTCTTGTTTCCTCTTTAAACTTTGGGAAGGGAGAATGATGATTTGGCATATTCAACCATATATAGTCTGACTAAAAAAATTGAGAATACTGAATTGAAAGAACAATTGACGTTGACCTCAGAATTATTGTCATGTAAAAACACTGTTGCATAATTGACACTAACATTCTTCCCACGATAATTTGATTTAAGTATAGGAGTGAAGGAATTTTAGATTCGAATTGTACGTCATTTAGGTTGCTGAATTGATGTGAAAGAGTTGTTTCAATTGTACAGTTTTTGAAAAAAAAAATACAATAATTTATTTAAAAATATATTTTATAATTTAAATGATAAAACAATAAATTTTAATTTAATTGAGGTAGAATTTATTAATTTTAATTATTTTCACTGTTATGTCAAATTTTAGTAAGGCTATTTAGGAGTGATTTACTTACCAAATATGTCTAGATATTGCCACTGTATATCCTTAATGGAGCTTCTTTTATGATGCAAGTTAACTCAAAAGGAAAATAATTGAAAGATTATTTTTATTATACAATTTTTTCATACAATTATACTTATTTTTTAATAATTTATTTTCTTTATTTTACTAGAAATTATAATATTATATAAATTTATTTATTTAATAATATGTAAAAATTATAAAAATATAAGTCAAAGATAATATTATTATAGATATTTTCTATTTATGTTTCTCTGAAAAATAATTGAATTTTTTTTTAATAATTTGACATGGGATAAGATCAAACCTATCGAAGGGAGCCTGAATGGTCAGGTGCAAAAAATAATTGAATTTAATTTTTGAGAAATTGGGGAAGGGGTTACTGGGATTTAAATTCTGATTAAGGTGCCTCCACTTCATTCTAGAAGGAGCCTGTAGCCATTGGGCCACGAGGTGGTTGGCATAATGTTGTAGGCAATTTTCATTTTGTTTCCTTTAAAAAAAATAATTGAAGGCCATGAATGCGACAATATATAAGAATCATATGCCCCAAATGGACCACAGCGAGGCAGCAAAGCAAATTCCATGGTGGGCTGTGTGTGTACGTAGTTTGTATAGAGTTAAGAGTTTGGTATATGCATTGTGTAATGAAAAAAGAATTTTACAAAAAAAAAAAAATGAAAATTAAGACAACGAAGGGAGAGAAGGATCCAGTGTGTCACTATCAACAAGTGTGTCCCCAGCCATCATTACGAGTCCGCATCATCACAAAACATCAACTAACACTTAACGCAGAAATACCATTCAACGCATCACCATCAAAAAAAGGAAAATCAATTCCAACATGTAGTCCCCACCACTATGCTACAATCCCATTCCCATACACCCTTGTACACATTATAATCTCCTACCAACCCACCCCCCTCCTCCTCCTCCTCTTTTCTAGAATTTTACTCAAACGAGTTTTTGGAATCGGAGGCGCGAGTTTTTGCCGAGGTGGGAAGTAGGGTCCACAGGATAGTTGCATCCACGCGAGAATGGGACCCACATAACAGGGGTAGGGGGGAAGGCTGGACCTGATGTTGTGAGTGAGAGTCCGTTAAGAGGGGGGAGAGATAGAGAGGGGTGAGGTGCCTCGAATTTTCTGATGAAAGCTTTCTCTGCGTGCAAGCCAATCACATCCATCATCTCGTACGGGAAAACTCATCATTACATCTTCTTTCTGATGTTTGTCCTAAAAAAAATAAAAATTTAATTTCTATTTAAAAAAAAAAAAAGGGAAAAAAAATTCCTATTTCTCTCTCTTGGGTTTGCTTTATAAATTGAGGGGAGTGTTCTTTGTTTTCCCTTCACCCTAGTTCTTTTCTTCTTCTCTTCTTCTGTACTACTTGTACACAGAGCAGTAGCTGAAATTTTTGGGTGTGGGTTGTTTTGTTGCATGGATGGATCCCTCACAACATCAGGTAAGATTGATGATGAAATGATTTTCATTTTCTTTGTTTGTGTAACTTTATTACCCTTTTCCTTTCCCCCTTTTAATTTTGTAGTTCTTTTTTGTTTTGTGATTACAAAAAGATGTATAACCTTCCTTTGGTTATTATTGTACTTGTTAATACTCATCACTTTGATCGTCTAGTAAAGGAGAGGAAAGGGATGAAATGAAAAGAAATTGATTTTTTTTTTTTTTTGTTTACCTCCTTTGAAGAACTTTGTTTTATGTTTTTTAATTATATATATGGGGCTTTCATGAAATGGGTAGTGATGTTTGGGAATGATATTGTATTTCATTTATGAATAGATCATTTGGATTAAACATTTGATTTGGGTAAAGTTCAAAGGAAATTCTAGCTAGTTTTGATTTTTTTTTTTTTCTTTCCTTTTTTTTTTTTTTTTTTTCACATAACCATTAAGTGAAACTAGGATGCAGGTTTGAGTGCTTTTGATTTTCCAGACGCGTTTGGAAGATTTGGAAAACATTCTTTCATTTTTCTCCATGTTCATCGTTGGTTAATTATCATGAAACTTGAAGTGAAAGAAAAGAAATCATAAAATCACACAGTTTCACTATTTTAGCCCTTAATTTTCATCTCATTAATCCAAAAAATTGGAAATTATGATCATATATGTATGTGAATTGGGGTTTTAATTAACTTGGAGCTGAAATCCTTTACAAAATCTTGTTTCAGGAGATGTCTAATCCTTCTTTGGAAAGCATGCTGGTTTGCTCAAAAGCACAACAAGAGAGAAAGCCAAGGCCACAACCAGAACAAGCTCTCAAGTGTCCAAGATGTGACTCCACCAACACCAAATTCTGTTACTACAACAATTACAGCCTCACCCAGCCAAGGTATTTCTGCAAGGCGTGCAGGAGGTACTGGACCAAAGGAGGCACACTGAGAAATGTGCCGGTGGGAGGCGGGTGCAGGAAGAACAAACGATCATCTTCGTCTTCATCAAAGAGGACCCAGGATCAGCAGCAGCTCAACTCCAGCACCAACCCACTGACTGGAATCCCTACTTTGGGTTATGACTCGGCTGATCACCTCAGTCTTGCATTTGCTAGGCTTCACAAATCCAGTGGGCAATTAGGGTTTGATGAGCATGAAATTTCCCTTATGGGAAACCCAAGCAGCACCCATTGTAACATGATCCTTGGTAACCCTACCATGAACAGTTGTGCTGGTGCCACTACTTTTCTTGACACACTAAGGAGTGGCTTTCTTGGACCCCAGAACAGTTTTCCTAATTTTTATTATGGGTTTGGAAATGGGAACATGGCAGGAGAGGTGGATAATTGTGGCGTGGGCGTTGGTGGAGAAATGGTGTCGCCATATGATCATCATCAGGACATGAGCAACAGCACTACTGCAACAACAACAGCTGTGACAGTCACAACAATGAAGCAAGAATTCTGCAATGAGGCCAGAGATAATACTGCTGATCAGAGCAGGGTCTTGTGGGGTTTCCCATGGCAGCTCAATGGAGATGGCAGTAACATGGGTGAGCTTGATAATTCAGGGCGAGAAAGCTGGAATGGACTCAACTCTTCTTGGCATGGACTGCTTAATAGCCCTCTAATGTAGACAAATGGGAGCCCGTCTTTCCATGTATCTCTCTTGAACCAAAAACTATAGTCTCTACCCTACTCATCTCATGTATCAAACCCCATATAATATCTCAGCTTTAATCCCTCTTTGGAGAGTTTTGTGTTAGGGAGATATATATGATTCAAGCATGAATCATGCATCCTTAGATATTTCCATTTGTTTTTTCCTTAGTAATTTATTGGTTGATAAACTAATTAATGATATTTAAAATTTATTTCTAACCAATTAAGTCTTTTTTTTTTTTAATTTGATTACAATGTTACATCACACCATAGCCTTTTTCTTTCTTAAATCTCATTCAAGTTGGGTGTGCTAGCATTTGAAATCTTCTCATATTCAAAGGGTTAGGTTGTTCCTCATTAAAAACCGATTAAAAACTTCTTTGAAAGAGGATACGTTACATATAGAGTTTATAAATCAATGTATTGGATGAATTCCCATTTTGAAGAAGAGGGTGAAAGGGTGAGAGTGATGTTTCATGGTTTTTATACAGCCTGAACTCTCTGAAACTCTCTAGTATTAAAAGGTGGTTAGTTTGCAGGTGCTTTGGATTTTGAAACAGTGGTGTTTTCAAGATATTCCTTTCATGATTGCTTCATACTTTCAAGTACATTCTTGGAATATTAGGAGTATAATAATAAACCATACTACTAGTGTATGTATATAAATATATACACAATAGATTTAATTTAATGGGAGCTGATTGAATTATCTTGTTCCCAAAGCATATAAAAATTTCAGTGAGACAGAAATAGAATACTAACACCAATCTCGGGATGGATTTTCTTCTCTCTCTCACCAGACCAAATCTAAGTTGAAGATTTAGGCGTGAGAGAATAGTCAGTGAGATGTATCAGAATAAAGATTAGTATTATTAAAATACTAATATATGCATGAGCTATGTCATTAGGACCATATTAAGGTCTGATTAAACAAATATATTTAACTTTGAAAAAAACATTGAAATTTGAGGCTGAGTCAGTATCCAATTTTGAAACACTGGTTAATTTGAAACATTGTAGACTTGTAGTAGTATCAAGTTGGGGTGCTGTCAGTGTCGTCTCTGTGTCCCGCCGGCACTAGATAGACATGAGAAAAACGACAGCTCTGCCCTGAACCGGGTTTAGATTATTTTAGTACTAGGAAAATGACGGGAGTGAATTTGGTCTATTTGATGTCTTTTTCCATTGCAGATTTATACAATAAATTGACACAAAAATTTTAATCATCTAATTTAAGTATCCAAGTACAACTAGTGAGGGTCCAAAAAAAAAAAAAGTACTTATGGTAATATATAAACAGAAAGTGAGAAATTATACTTACTTTGAAAAAAAAAATGAGTAATTTATGTCTTCCATGAGGGAGTCTGGACAATGCACATCTTTCTGTGACTTCCTCTTAAAAATTCCTTCTGGGATTGATTTATTTTTTGGATTTTGTTTCAATTACGGAACACCGCGTCAACCACTTTAATTTTTTTAAAAATAATAATAATAATAATAATAATAGATTTCTTTGTTTAATCTCCATCATCAGGGGCAGCAGTTGTTGACAATAGTGTTACTTTTGTCCTGAAGAATAGAAGCATACTTTAACTTTTTTTTTTCTTTTGAAATGAGTAAGTTTGTTACTGCATTCACATTCCAAAGCTGCAACAACTTAGGCTGTTAGGCATCCTTGAAATATGCAAGAATTTTAACTAGCAAAGACCTAATTTGACACCATCTGATATTATTGCATCATCATTGGTATACATAATCATTCTCCAAGGGGAAAAGCAATACTACTTAAAAAACAAGCTACTCTTGCTACTTGATTTAAGCGATGAGAACAATCTGTAGCTGCTTGAAATTAGGAAACTTGCCTTTAGCAATTGGAAAAATTATAATTGCACATGTTTCAATGGTAGAGATAGTTGACTAATTAATACTAGCCACCAAATTTGCACATGGTGCATCATTTCTTTTCTATGGTGGCAATGAGATTTGTCGAACCCATAATTGAGAAGGGCAGAGTCCATTCATACAACACGGCAACTAATAGAAAATAAACACTAAATGATCATAACAACCATAATAAACCATCACATTAATCTTCCAAGAGTAAATCTTCAGTATATAGTAGTCTCAAACAGCATAGAAACTACAAAGATGTCATGCTGAATAGATCCATATAGTAGAAAGAAGAGGGTATGAGAAGCAGGAAAGTTGGCAAAATTTTCTCATGAATTAAAGTAACTTTCATTTGCTGCAGGAGCTTATGATCTTGGCTTCTCCTTTTTCTCCTTGAAGAGGGCTAATAGAGATACACCTGATACCTCGACAACCTTAAATCTGACTCCAGGAATATCTCCAACAGCATGGCCCTGTCTGCCAAAGCCAGCAATCAGAACCTCATCCTGTACATCAACAGAACAAGATGCTTGACAAGAGACAAATACGACAGCACATAAACAAATTATTCAGAATAATAAAACGTTGCTAGCTTTCTAAATGATTCTTACATTCTCTTCAATGAAGTTCAAGCAACCATCATTTGGTACAACTGCTGCAATCTTCTTCCCATTTTTGATCAGCTGAACTCAAGCACATTTTCTGATATAGCATGGTTTGGCTGCTTAGCCTCAATACCACTGCACATGTCAACAATTTATAAACCCATCAATTGTTATATTTAGATTAATTACTTCAAGGTTAGCAAATGGTTTCCCCTACATTTTCTCGAGAACAATGCCTTTTGCATGAGAAGATCCCGCAAATGGTTTCTTCCATTCATTACCAAGGTGAGATTTCTTATATGCCTTCAATGGTGTGACTTGATCGAGTTTGCAAGCAGCTCCAATTCCCTGTGTTTTCCTGCACATAGGTTTCCACAGAATTTTGAATCAGTCAACCATATAATACTAATTAACAAAAATCAGAAAGGAAAAAAAAAGGAAATAAATCAAGAAGCATGCAGCTTCACTCCTAAAAGGCCCCGCATTACTTCATAAATACTATCATCCACTACTAACATACACTCTACCAATGGATAAGAGAATTACCCAACTGCTCTCCATGAACCTTGAATGTTTCAAACATTAACAATTTAGTGGAGTATATAAATTAAGTGCAGCACCTACAATTACTAACAAACCATTTTGTATACAAAATTTATCCCAAAACCCCAATT